GTACGGCAGCCAGCTTAAGCCCCTGTAGTGTGGACCGAAATATCAACGGAAGTTGTCTTCTGACCCTAAACAACTTCACAATCCCAACTGTCATAAAACATATCTCTGGCCATATTTCATTGTGGATTCCTAAATCAGACCTTCTGTAAATTCTGGGCTCAAGGATTAAAATATCCCATGAATTTCCTTCTGAAGCTTGTTATAGGGTTAGATAATGTGCTTATGGGTTCAGATGTACTAACAGTTCTTTAACAACCTTTTCAAATGACCTCATGTGAAAATTAATCTTGTATAATCCTTAAACATGTTCTGCCTTAGGTGAGAATATATGAAATATATAAACTGGGTATACACTTTTTTGCCAGACTTCTCCATTAATAACTTTTATAATTTTTTCTTCCAGTCATTGTGAAGATTTACATGTCAACTTACAAGTCCAAAAAATCTGACAGCTGACAAGATGGTAATTGCTGTAATATATGTATTATACAAGGATGATTAGTTGTGAAAGATTGGTCAGGATGTCTATAAGTATAAAGATATATGATACAATTTTGTTACAACTTTGACATATATCCATGGTATTCAAGGTATCAGTGTTCACGATACTGAAGTTCTACTGTTCAGTATTTCAGTTTATTTCTAGGTGTGCTACCCCCCAACCCGACCCTTCCCCACCCCCACCCAGACCCACACAAACACACATATTCACCAGAACCCTATACTTGATTTGTGTACATGAAATACAATGCCTAAAAGATCAGAAAACTACAATACTTACAATACATAGATTTTATTCAATATTACAATTTTCCCTGCCTGAAGCAGTTAGAAGTATTCTTTACTTTACAATACATAATGATAATAGTGATAGCTCTCTCAAGTTATAAAGTGTTGAAGTAGCTGTGAAGTTCAAGATAAAGGGCTTGTCATATGCTTAGTCAATCAATGGGTTATCATTAGGCCATCTCAGGTAAAAGATGATAAAAGTAGGCGGCACTCCAGCGTCTTTCCTAAGACACTCATATGTATACATACATGCTTCAATATATAGTGTGCACTGATAATGACCGATTACCAAGTCATCTCATGTATTAACACTGATTTAAATTAACTTAATTTTTCTACAGAATTCCATTCATTTCAAAAAGGAATTTTTTTTTTTAACTTATAAAAGACGTTAAGGGGAGATCACTATTAGTTAACATGGAATAACCTTTTCTCAATGTATTCCTTTAAAGTTATACAGTGTTTTTCTTGAGATTTATCTACAAGATGCAGAAGTGCTGACAGTAGCTCGGGGCTATTATAAGTTTAGTGTATTGAGATAATGATAACCCTATATAGGATAATACAGCTACCTGACGATTCTAATTCATCTATCATCTATATATAGAGGTATGACAATCACAGAGAAGCAGTAAGCTTTCCATACAATGAGAACCCGAAGTATCTTATCAAGGAGACTTGAACCTGCAATAAACAACCGACTCTCCACAGGTGAATTACCTGTGCCCCTTTGTTTCAGTGCTATATAACAGCACCTTACGTCACAGAAGGTGACAAGAGTCAACACAGCCCAACAGCTAAGTCAACCAATTGTTGATAGGGTCCTCACTCCCCTGGCCGACATGATAAATCAAACATAGCTCCCCAAACAGCTGAGGAAATCTACGCTTAATTGAGAAAAACTGATACATTTAGTTTAATTGTCCACATTTGCATCATAATCGAATGTCAAAGCTTCATTACACCCTAACAAAACATCAGTTCTGTGGCCGATTCTTATCACCACACTACTGTTTTTGTGGAGGAAATTGACGTTTCTCAAACTGAAAAACCATTAAGGGAACATTGAGCAGATATGGATAAAATGGTGATTCAGAGAAAATTATAAAGACATTCAGCTGCTAGGAAAAAGGTGTAATGTCAATAATGCTATTCTCAACTATTATGTAAAAAAAACTTTAATGAAAGGTTTCTGAATAGAAATATAAAACTGTGTTACTTTTTGTATTAAGGGTCATGCAACTGGTAAATCATGGAATACACACATACATGCATTGGTTGTTTACAGATTAAATGCTCACGTCAATTAATCATACATGTAGACCACTGGGTAATTAAGAACTGCTTTGATAATAGTAACAGACACCTGCAAAGTGACTTATATTTATTGTGCACCATGAAACCTTCTTACATTGCCTTACAACTATATATTCTTTAATAGCCAGAAAATAATGCACTGGTAAACTAAGGGGTCATTTAAATTTCCAAGGCAAATGCCCGACAGCTTTTGTTCTTTGTAATCAGTGTTATTATACAAACTCAGTGGAACAGAAATCTTTCTATCAATACAACCTAGCTGCGAGATGTACCAACATGTCTACCCTTTTTTTAACTAAGCACTCTGGCTTAATTGTTTGTAAAATAAAAAAAAAATCAGGTAGATGTAATTGGTGATACATGAGCAGCTAGGACAGAATTAACATTAAATTTAAGAGGCTGGGGGTGGCAGCCATTTTCAGACTATTAATTTTGACCTCCTTTAAAAGAAGAGCTCCATATAAATATATACAAAAATGTCAGGTCAAATTTTAAAACTAAAATGTATGATTTTTTTCTTTGGAAATGATAGTTGATAGCTTAATTATTAAGATACCATATCCAAATAAATGAGTTAAATCTGGTGGTTAATTTGTGGTTAATTTGTTGACCCCCAGCCTCCTTCAATTTTAAGAAATAAAATAACTTTTTCAACAAAATTATTGTATTTTCCCTTGAAAACAATGCCTTGGACTAAACTAAAGGACATGTATACAGATGTATTGCACATCAAATTGCTTCTCATGAAATTCCCAGGTCAGAATTTTAGCATATACGACAGTGTATACATTTTTAACAAACTGCGGTTTCATCTTTTATGCAGATACTACTAGTGAGGTTTTATTTTTGATTTATTTCAATGCAAAGAATGACTTATAACAGGTCAAAAAGATAATTAATGTAGATTTATGCCACAAAAACAATGAAATTAAATATATGTCTTTAATTTTAGGTCTGCATTCTTGCATGTAAATATCGAAGAATTTGTATTAACTGGAAACATTGTCAAAAAAATGTCCATCTTCTCATTACATCACACATCTCAGAAATAAGCAAAATCAAAATATGTTTATTATGCTCTCCTTTATAATTACATGTTGTTTATCTCAAGGCATAACTATGCAATACAAATATTACAGCTGTTTATAAAACTGCTGCAGCCTTGACATTGTGCAGTAACATTGACACGCATCAGCGGATCTCTGAAAATAACTCACATTCATCAAAATTGATGTCTGGAAACCAAATTAATTACAACACGGGCTATTCTTAGCTGTGAGGGTCGACACATTTGTACACTGCAATGTAGGTAAATCTAAGTAATTAACGTTAAACTTCTCAACTCCACGTCACAGGAAATGTTTCAACATTTTTTACGTCTCATTCAAAATGTCATGAGTATGTTGAAAAATCAAAAGTTTAGTTAATAGTACATAATTATATGTATGTAAAAAAAAATTCTTTTGTACAAAATGAAGCTTTAATTAAGTAATTTTCTTTTTAATTTCTAGATATATTTCAACAAGAATATTCACTAACTTAAGACTATGTATTTACTGAATAGCATAGTCATTATAATTATATGCTTTTTAATTTTGGGGAAAAAATATTATCAAAGATAGGATAAGAAAAAAAAAACTTTTCACAATTAATGATAATAATCTTTTCCTGTAGCATGTATTCATTGACAAAGCTGGTGCACATGTGTTTCAGTGTTCAATATTAATTGGATCAAAAATGACAAGGCATAATTCTACATACATGTAATTTCTATTCAAAATCTGCAGCATCACATAGCTCAATACTGAATATTATAAAATTAATAAAATATTGGATCATAATTATCATCTCACTTAACATCAAGATAATGAAATTCATACAAATTAAAACAGCTGCTTAGTATTGCCTGGGTTTTTTGTGAGTTATTAAACTAAATACATGTACTCATTTCAAAGGCTCAGAACTTCCAGAAAGGTGCTTCTGAAAGTCAGAGCTCATCGCTTATCACTGGTAAAATATTTTATTTTGTGATATTGTACAGCAAATAAATATTTTTCCTAACACTTAAATGTATTCTGAATGAGTTTCTTAAATATTTAATAGGGTACAGATTTGAAGTAAGATTGACTGTGCAGAGGCATCGTCCTCTGGTGCCCTTTGTATTCAAGCCACACTATATAAATTATTATACTCTTAGTATAATAAATATGTTCCTTTTTTAATCTTCCTGTGGTTTTCTATCTCCTCAGTGTCACACTATTGTGAATAATGCTACAAATTTTACACGACCTTTTCACAAGTATCTTACTTGTGGTATTGCACATCTCCCATTTGTACTTTTATAAAAGATTTAATTATTTTTATTTTGTATAATTACAATACACTTTAAAATCATCTGATTGTTTAACCATACTGTAACAACTGTATATGCCCCCCAAGGGCCCTTGATTGGTGAATAAATATATTACATTGAATATTTTTAAAAAGTATAGTTCTATACATGCCAAATATAATTTTTGCTATTATAAATAAGGGTGAAACAATTACCAAAGTTTGTTAATTACCAAAGTTTGTAAACCTTTAGATTATACAACAAGCAATAAACAAAACATTTCCATTGAAAACAGAGAAAACCACATATTGATCATTGAATAATTTTAAGATTTGTATTATTTTTTTTTTACATACTATAGGGCGGACTTGAATTTGACTAGTGTGATCAATATAAACTTGTAAAATAGTAATAGATGGTACAATTTTTCTCTCTTTTTGGTATATGTAAAAGTTTAAATTTACACCATTTTATGAATTTTCAGTTTTTAATAAAAATCGCAGTATACCTTCATCTTGTAATCATTTCACCCCTATTCACTTTTTAAAAAATTGTGTCGTACCTGTGACTTTCCGAGAGCCGGTAAGGAGACTCTGCGATCCCGCGTGTGATTTGCCGTAGCTCTTGCTGCAGGAAACCCTCCCTGGGAGCTGGAACTGGATCGCCTTTTGTAAGCTGGAATTTTGCCATCTTGTGTCATAAAATTATTTATTTGGGGTTTGAAAATAGTTTCCATATATTTTGATATGAATATTCCAGTTAGCCCGCACAAGTACGACAAATATGGTCTGAAACTCTGGGGGATGTCCCCAAGAGTAGAACATGCTAAAAATCGAGTGAAGCTGACCAAGAATATGACAACAACGCTATGTTGAGTTTCTAATGTTGAAAACACACTAGCTGAGCATACAGCAAAGAGAACAATAAACACCACCAGGGGTTGGGTGATTTGACTGTAATTCCCCACCCCCTCCACCCCAGCTGCAGGGGAAAGGGTATCCCCCTCACTCCATGACTGAATTAAAACTTGAGCTATGGTTTCCCCTACAAAACATGACGCAAATAGTAGATACACGCTGGTACAGCTCCATGTTTTCCGCAGGCCTATTGACAGCCAGAAAAAGCTCTGGACTATCGTAAACATTGGCACAAGGATCCCACATAGTCGGTGAAATACTGATCCAATATCACATCTTAGTAACTGATAAGATACCACAAGAGACACTGCTAAAATTACTCCATATACTGCACCTTGATGCTGACAAGAAATTTGACTGGCTGTTCTTCCTAGCCAGTTCAGTATCAGTGACAAGTTGCCTTGCTCCAAGGGTTTCACAAGCACCTGCACGTAGCCGTTATTTTCCGAATCGTCATCATCTTTTTGAGAATCATTTTTCGACCCCCTTCTCGCTGAAAGGGGGGAACGGTGCAAGGCCATTTTAAATTACATTGAGATTCTCTTTCATGTAAACCGACCTGCCACTCAAATACACACAACTTCTGCAATACACAAGAGGAATTATGGGTAGTAATTTATGCGCTGCCCTCTAGCGGTGAAGAATTCGTAAACAAGGAAGCAGGCGGATTCTACTTTCACATTGTCTTCGTGTTTTGTATACTCGGGAATACTTCTGGTGGATCCTATTGTCGAGGATTTGATGTGTCATCTGCGTCGTTTTACAGAGGGCAGCAATACACAAGGATGAACAATAATCAATAAAAAGCTTGTTATTCACAGCAGCGAATGACTTTCTAATTTGCACATGCATGCTGGCGCCAAAAAAAAAAAAAAAAGAAAAGAAAAAAAAAGAAAGAAAGAAAAGAAAAAAAGGGGAAAAAAATGAAATATTAAAAGAGCAAACAAATGAGAAAATTTGAGGAACAGCAATAAAAGACGTACGTCGTATCATATACAATAAAGATTCGCAATGAAATATGTCTGTAGGAATTATCAAATCCTGTAAAACAAAAAGTATTTTTGAGATATGTTGTACAGATTAAAATCATATACATGTACGAAATTGACTGAGCAATATCAAGAAACCATCAACCAAAGCTTAGATTTTCCCTCTAAACTGTACCTGAATCCAACACTCCGTAGATGAGATACGTTATTTATTTATTTTATTTATTTATTTATTGTTTTTATTGTTATTTATTTTATTTTATTTCATTATTTATTGATATTTCAAGGAATATAATAAAAAAAAAATCATTTTATATTTATTTTTATTTATTTATTTATTTATTTATTTATTTTTATTTGTATATTTTGGGGTTTGTTGTAAATATACAATGATATATCATGTAATATATACTCACACAAATATATATCTACCCCATACCCCACTCAGATTATTTAATGCTGCATGTACCCATGTAAGATACCAGTTATAAAGCCTGATGTAGTAATTTTTTAATTAAATTGCTAAAGTGAAACCCCTCTTTCCACCCACCAATATACATGTAATCCCATTTATCTCGGATGAAAAATTTAAAAATACACGTTTATCAGGGTATTGATACACAAATACGGCGTAGTCTTTTTAGTGTAAAATGTCTTTAGGGCGATTGTTCACATTTCTCGGCAGTTTACTAGAAATTTTTTCGTGGATTTTTCGAGAAATCTATTTGGGGCAAATTCCCGTGCACGTCATCGTAAGGTTCATTAAAAAATGAATTAAGAACTAATGGGTTTTAAATGAGATCACGGAATCTGTGTAATTATTTATTGATTGTCTCTGGTAACCCTGTAGCAATTGGATCTTGTCATTTTACTCCAAACACGTGAGATAAAAACTCTTTCTAAAACTCTTTCTCTCTCTCTCCCTCTCTCGATCTCTCTCTCTCTCAATGCACACGATCGTAAACCGATTGAAACAAACATAATAAATTTTAAAATCTTTATTATTAATTTCAGCCTTTGACACCCGAGTGAAGAAAAAGTAAAGCCACTGGATATTCAATTTATTGAAGGATAAGATAAATACTTCACGTAACATCAACATTCACAAATGTGGCCATTTTCTGGTATGGTGGTTCATTTCTTATAATCTCAATAGTATATATTTTCAAATCGAGTCATACAAAGAAGCTGCCACGTTATTAAAGCATAAGGGATTATCTAAGACGTCAGACAGGGATTAACCGATTAAATCCTTTTTCTGTCCGAGATTAACCGCTTTGAATGCCGGACTTTGTGAGGACGTATTTTGATTAACGAGTTCTTCTTGTCGCTAGGCTTATTTCTGAAATATATTGCACTATTGAAGAAGGTTCACTTTTTAATCTTGTCATTTAAATCAGTAAAAACTGTAGGAAGAGGTCTGCAGATGTTTCATACAGAAGCAGGGTTAAAACCTATGATGGATTAAAGGGAATCCCCCCCCCCAGCTTCTGAGATTCGGACATGTGCGGTTCAAATTTAAAAATATAACTTTACAGAAACATGTCGTTATACTTATGTATGTTTTTTTGTGTATGTGTGTTTTTTTTTTTTTTTTTTTGCTTGTCAAGAAATTTCTGGGATTGGAATTTTTTTTTGACTGAGGTGGACCCCCTGGAAAAAAAACCTCTTCTATATTCATTTTTTGGGGGGGATTGTTAAATGTCATGGCGATAAGTGATGTAGATAATTAAAAATATCAGCGTTTTTCTCCCCCTTCTCCCCTTACAAAATACAGATTTAAAGCAAAATGTGGATTGTAAATAATAACCTTACAAAATACAGATTAGTAAATAAAGCAAAATGTTTTATGGCCAAAGTTTTTTTGTAAAGTTTTAAGTTTTTAGTGTCAAAGTTTTAAAAAAATCAAAGTTTTTAAACTTTTTCAAAGTGTTAAATTTCGCCAAAGTTTTTCAAAGTAAAAAGTGTCAAAAAAGTTTTCGATAAGTTTTTCAAAGTGTCAAAGTTTTTTAATAAATTTTTTCACAGTGTCAAAGTTTTCGATAAAATTTTTAAAGTGTTAAAGTTTTTGATAAAGTTTTTCAAAGTGACAAAGTTTACGCCAAAAAAAAAAAGTTTTTGCAAATATAATTTTTTTAAAGAAAAGTTTTTCAAAGTGTCAAAAAGTCCTCGATAAGTTTTTCAAAGTGTCAAAGTTTTTAATAATTTTTTTCACAGTGTCAAAGTTTTCGATAAAATTTTTCAAAGTGTTAAAGTTTTTGATAAAGTTTTTCAAAGTGTCAAAGTTTTCGCCAAAGTTTTATGAAATGTCAAAGTTTTCGCCAAAGTTTTTCAAAGTGTCAAAGTGATCACTATAGTAAATCAAAGTTTTCAAAGTGTCAAAGTTATAACTACAGTTAACTATAGTAAACTCTAGTAAACTCTAGTAAACTCTAGTATTTTTTTGTTAGAGTAATATTATGATAAAAAAAATCTTGATGAAGTTTTCTATGAAATGAGATTTCGAGCACACACCCCCCCCCCCAAAAAAAAAATCTTGCAAAGATAATGAAAAGGTAAAGAAAACGAACAGTGATAGACCTCATATAAACTTCAAACGATACAAATATGTAAACAGGACATAAACACGGATCCCTGGGAACTCCAGAGGTGGGATCTGGTGCCTAGGAGGAGTAAGCATCCCCTGTTGACCGGTCACGTATATACGCCGTGAGTACTATGTACTGATCGAGTAGAAGGAACATTCTGTAGTCAAATTTAACACAAATACAAAGGCCTAGCACTTGTATTAAACATGTCAGCAAAACCTTCGACCCAGTGTTAGGTTATTTTTGCTAATCAGGTCATGATAACGACCATAGAATTTACGAAATGCTGGTATACCAGATATTAATATATTTACTAGATAAGATTATAGTAAATTTAGATTGTTCATGAGTAACTTTCACTATGTATCTAAGTATCTATACGACCCCCGCTCCACAACTCACTAACCAGTAAACTGAAAGTTTAATAATCACGACCAACGCTTTACGAAACACACCAGTTAAATTCACTAGGTTTTTCTTTCAGTGAAACAACCTACTGTATATGTGCTCGAGTATACTGTCTCGGTTTGAAAATTGATGTAAAGTTTTAGAGGCGACGATCCTGAATTGCACAAGTTTAATTAAATTGTCAAAGGGATATATATGGACTGATTAACAGAAGACCTATTTCGTTTTTTACAGAGTGAATGAATACACGAAACGTTTATATTCTGATGAAAAAAATATTTTAAAACTACAATATAAATGATAAGACACTGATAGTGAGTTTTTCAAACCTAATAACGGTCTAGGTGATTTTGTCAGAATCAGAATTATCTGGTAACGCAGCTGAATGTAAACAAAGCATCTCTCCTGCTTTACTCGTATGTGTCACGTATATACGCCGTAAGGACTGTGTACTTTGATCGAGTTTTAGCATGGATAAAACGTTTTATTTTTGTTGCTTTATTAAGCGTTTGTCAAAAGCGGTTGAGAGTAAAATTTATTTTTGCGTAACTTTAAAAAATACAAAAGCATAGCATACATGTATGTGCACACTGTTATTCTGTGACAGCGTAAAGAATAAAGAGTTAGTTGTTTTATATTCTGTAGACAGCATTGGATAGGAATGACAACAAAAAGTATCAAATGAGAGAGAGAGAGAGAGAGAGAGAGAGAGGGTGTCTTCCCACTTAGCCAAAATTCTGAAAAAAGTACAGGTAATTGATGTTGGCTAAGTGGGAATGGTGTACAGGTAAGGGGAGGGAGAGAACAAAAGAAATTAATTACAGGTGACCTATAGTCTGTTTTAGATGAACACTAGAAAAAGTCTGACAATTTAATGAATTGTATTGAAATCAATATTTATTAATAAATTCATATCTTATATTAATCAAATTAATAGTCATGATTTTTTTTAATTTTACGATTTAATTTGTTTTGTTTTTTCAATTTTATATCTACTCATTTTTAATTAATGAGATTTGATATATTGCTTATTTGAAATGTTTAAAGTTCTATTACACTCTGTATCACTAGTACTGGTGATAAAAATATACAGTCATGCATGTAATGCTTTTGAAATCAAACGACCTAAATATGTGTTCAAAATGAGTAAAATTCTGATTCATGTAATTAAAAAAATCAAATTTTAAAAAAAACAATTGAATTTAATAGGATGATTGTATCATAAAATTAATGTTACTGCAAATATTTTAAATGTGCATCTGATACTAAGGGTTCTTTTTTTCTTTCATGCATAAAATGCTGGATTTTTAATCCTTATAAACAAGCAATTGTTTACATTTTTATAAAGATTGTCTAAAGATTTTTTGTACATTATGAATATATATGGTTTAAAAAATACTGAATTAATCAAATATATCATGATCATTTAAACAAATTCAATATTACAACAATAGAGGATTATAGTGTGTTTTATAATGTTTTGATTTTTTTGGGACTTTAAAAAAAACCCCTAAAAAAATTAACCATACTATAGTAATAACATACTATGTGATAAAATTTTATTCCGAAACAAGTGCATTTGCATTGTAATTATGCATATAATAAATTAATTTTAAACACCTATGCATA